CCCCTCTTCACAACAATCTCTCCCCCCCCCCCTCAAAAACCTCTCCTATCCCCCCCCCAACTCATCAACAACCTTTCCTACCCCCACTCATCAACAAACTTTCCTACCCCCCCTCCACTCATCAACAACCTCTCCTAACCACCCCCTCCCCCCTCAAATCCCACACATGAGTTGTTGCAACGTGATCAACAAATCAATATCTATGTGTCGGCCACATACTTAATATATGTATATATAAAAACCATGCGTGACCACACATACTATTCATTTGCGTATAAAGTTCATGTGTATTTCTGAGTGGATTCTTTTTATGTGTGGTCAAATGAAAATCATGTGTTATTTCACATGGATATTTGTCAAGAAAAATGTGTAAATTGTTTTGAGTCAACCATAACCGAAACATTGAAATGCTTGAAAATTTTAAGATAAAGTATAATACTCAAAAATGCATGAAAAACATCAATTTTGTGTGGTTCTACGTCATACTGCGGTCGTGTCTAGGACACAACCCTTTAATTTTTTTTTCAATTTTGAATTGTGTTTATTGTGATTTATGTTCCTAATTTGATTCAAACTGATTTATTTAATAACTATTGACTTAGTTGAGAAAGTCCAACTGAAGGGTCGAATATCCCTCCCGACGAGAACCCACACTTTTGAAAAAGACCTGTGCATTTGTAGGACATGAATTTAGTTAGGGCGGCACCAACAGTTACAGAAAGTGGAGTTGTATCATGTTCCCTATAGCTACGTTTCAAGAAACGCTTCACCAATCCGAACACAACCTCGATCGGATTATAGAAGCGGCAGTAAGCTGGCAAGGATATTGCAATAATACCAATTGATCTTAAATACATCACAATATTCTTGTCGCAATGTATACGTGCCCCATCCGTTATCCAGACCGAGTGTTTTCCAGGATATTTATGAACATTTCCACTATGGAGAGCCATTTTAGAACAACTATCAAAAAATTTCTTTCTATTGAAAGTACCCTGCGTTTCAAAAGATTCAATTACTCCCGATTGACCTAAAAAGCAGAGACATGAAACACGTGGCTTGCGTCGAAATTCACTTCAGTAAATAAGGCTTTGTCCAACACGTCCATATCCACGATTTCGAAGCATTTGGCGGTTGTCAAAGGAAACTTCATCCAAAAATACCAGCTGCTATAGATCCAACTGAAAGCATTTCTGTTCATTGGAGAATCGCAAAACATCTTCCTGACGAATTTGAACAGCTCTTCTCTCCAAATCTTTCCATGACATGCCGTAAGCATGTAGAATGTTGCATATGGAAGCTGCACTGATAGACACACCAAAATGTTCGACAAATAGTTGGCGTGGTTCGTATAAATACAGCACAGGTCGTCTGTTGCACAAATCCAGGATCCATTGTTGCTTCGTCTCATCAAACTTAGGGTACACTGCTGTCCTCTTTAATCTGGATAATGATCCATCTCGTTCGTAGGTAGTAATCCACGAGGAAATAGTAGTTTTTGATTTGTGATAAAGTGTGGCAAGATGAGAGCGAGATAAGCCCAAAAAATAATAGTCGTACAAGCAGTAATATTTCGTGTTAGTGGTGGCCTGCTTGTTCCGAACGTTTCTTATTATCACATTATCCATGTTACGCCTGATGCTAGCTTAAAAATTAAACATAAATTCAATAATCACACCTTTCACATTAACTATTCCTACTAACCACTTGCTACATTGTTTTGCACGTTTTTATTTTTAGTTAGAATTCTCAACATTTTTTAAATACAGCACGATAGAAATCGTAAAGTCATCTTGACAGCACGATGACAGAACAGGTTGACAAATCTTCGACCGGCTGTTTTAACGATGATTTTTAAACCGCTGTTTTCAATTTGTCGGGTCCAGTTTACAAATTAACGTACAATACTCATGGCTAACTTAGATCTATATTCATTTAATTCTAGACTGCAGTTCTTCATGTTGTTAAATGCATCGCTTTATATCCTAGATCTTCAAAAATTGATGTCCTAAAATTGTAAAAAATTGTCTAAAATTGGTACTTTGAACATTTTTCTCTGTGCCTCAATTTCGCGATCTCTGCAGAGCACGAACAATACCGGAATAACGGAACTATATCTTTTCAATCAATAAATGTCACTATTGGTCACTTTTTAAGTGGTCACTATTTTCGTAATTTTAGTCACTAAAGTCACTACTATTACATCACATACCCACTACCATTCCTGCTACTGGAATCTCTCGAAGAGCACAGTGGTAGGATCAGTCCACCCTCTCGGCAGTTATCCAATCCAACTGAACATCTGTAAGCTTATGTGCCACGCAGCAAAATCCATCGTTTGTTTGTTTATTTGGACACTTGTCTACACAGCAAAAAAAAAATCAATATCGATTATTTATTGTATTGTTGATTGCGAGGTTGATTGTATCATACACAGCAAAAAAAAATGTAACATCGATCAATGTAATTCAAGCTGATGTATGAAAAAATGATGTCATAGCAAAAAGCAGATACAATATTACATCAATGGATGTAATTTTGTTCGCAAAATCGATGTACATCGTACAACGTTATATTACACAACCGATTGATTGACCTGGTTGCAGCAGTCACTGTACGAGACTGTACATACGTCAGCTTGAATTACATTGATCGATATTACATTTTTTTTGCTATGCAGTTGTTATTACTCAATAATGGGTAAAATTTTACTTAATTTTTTGTTAGCCCCAATTTCCCTCGAAAATGCATACTTTGTAGTCAATATTGAGTCTCGTATCCAGCTTTCCATGCTCGGTAATGGCGGCCTGTTTGTATGAATAAATGTATCCTTCACTGTGCTTTTTGACACTATCTGGATGTTCGAATTTCAACCCCTTCCCTTTCCCTCTCCCAGGAACAGTAGAAAATGGAACAACATACGCCCTCCAGTTAGTGTCAAAAAGCACAGTGAAGGATACATTTATTCATACAAACAGGCCGCCATTACCGAGCATGGAAAGCTGGATAGTCATTATTGGGTATTTTGCGGTTACCGTGTACGTTATTGTAAATTTTAGTGAATGAAACTCGAATTTGAGTTTAGTTAATCGGTCGTGTATCTCACGGTAACAGCAAAATACCCAATAATGGCTACACACGCTATTTCAAAACTCCCCAAATTTGGATAAAATCCACCCAGATCAGTCAAAACTGAACCTACCCGAAAATGGGTAAACTATGTTCGTAGTAACAAGTTTGTTAAATGAACAAAGTCGATCGCATTCATGTCGATGTTGTCCATTTCTCGCGTCACTTTTCAAATAGACCAATGTAACATATCCACCATTTTGAGAAAATCGAAGTTGAAGTTCGACAGATTATTATTTTACCTAACTGTTTAAAAACAATACAGTTTGCAATACGATTTTTAATGTAGTCAGTGTATAATAACGTTGAAAATTCAGAAGAAACGGTAAAATCACAATTTTACTTCGAATTTCATGCTACAACATAGAAAAAACCACATAGGACGTTTTGACAAGTCGAGTTGTACATCGGACAAGTTACATTGGACGATTTTTCTCAATGACAGAATCAATGAGTGTTACATTGGACGTTTTGTCTACATGATACTAGATTCCCTTTCACAGATTTCAGAGTATAGTACCTAACTTTAGATTGGCCCCGCCTTTGGAAAATGAGCACCAATCATGTTAGGCAGTCCGAATGACCGAAGTAACAATCATGTTCCCATCATTTCAAACTGTACATTGGACAATTTTTGACCTATGATTATCTTAAATAAATGAAAGTAAATTTGGATGGATGTTTTTGTATCACATATAATGATAGAAGAGCAATAGTTTGTATCGCTTAACTCGATTTGTTTACATTTGTTACATTGGTCTATTTGAAAAGTGACGCGAGATTTGTCAACTTGTCACTCCCAACATAGTTAACCCATTTTTGGGTAAGTGCAAATTAAGCATTTTCGATCGAAACTGGGACTGCTACAATAAATGAGTAAAATTTTACCCGATTATGAGTAATTACTATTTTAATGAGTATTCCCAGTCTCCCTCGAAAATGCTTACTTTGCAGTCAATAACGAGTATTTTAAAATCATTATTGGGTATTTTGCGGTTTCTATGAATGCAAACAGCACAACAAACGCTAACTTGATGTGCCGATTAATGAGTAAAATTTTACCAAATTTGAAGTAAAATAGCTTAGCTCATTAATGAACATTTTTTTTTTATCCATTTTAGGAGTATCTGTTACCCATTAATGAATAATTAATGATACCCATTAAATATCAACAATGGGTCCCAGTTACTCATTAAATGGGTAAAACATTTAATAAATCGACTGTAAGCATGCATAAGGGCGTAGCCGCGATGATCGATTCTCTCCGTCGATTTTCTTTTTTATTAATAACTCGCATGGATTAACATTTCTCTGTGCGTTTGTTGTTGCTTTCGATCACCAAAACAACCTGTTGCAGCACTGTATTGGGCAATTTTTTAGAAAATTGCTTCCCTTAGCTGTAGCAATTTAAAGAGAAAATCGCAGTTAAGCTCTTATGCATGCTCACTGTCGAATTTATTACTTACAAGCTATTTAAAAACTACCCAAATTTGTGTAGAATCCATCCAGATCGTCCAAACTGAACCTACCCAAAAATGAGTAAGCTATGTCGGGAGTGACAAGTTGAAAAAGGGACAACATCGACATGAATCGGATTGACGTTGTTAAATTGTCAACTTGTCATTTCCAACATTGTTTTCCCATTTTTGGGTAGGTTTAGTTTTGGCCGATATTGGTGGATTATACTCAAATTTGAGTAGTTTTGAAATAACGCGTTAGCCACTTTTGAAGTGGGTGAAATTTTACTCATTTAGTGGTTATTTAAAGTTAGCGTGCAGCATACGTGTCTCTGCTAAATATCGCCTGAACCTAACAAACGCTTTGTCTTTTTCGCCTGGTGTGCCGCTGTTTGGCATTAAATTGTCATCTGTCAAGGTACAAAAGTAAACGAAAATCAGCAACATCATTGTTCCTTCGTGGTTATAGCTTGTAACAAAATTGTAAATTTCTCTCGTAAAATGGTAAGTATTCTGAATTATTGATTGGAACTTGCGTTTCAGAACCAACCGTTCCCATTATTTTGCAGGAGGCCTCAATTAAAGTAGCTCCCCAAATGCCCAACAGCTTCAAAGAATTTGCCGGTCATGTTGCTCCACTGGATGAGAGTTGTGCCGCCCAGCTCCAGTCGGTCCATCCCTTGAAGCAATCGGAGCTGAATGTAAGTTATTTGTTATTTTCCAATTGTCACCATGCAATTAAATAATCTATTGTTTTCCCCCATCATTGCAGTACGATCAGCACCGTCAGAACCTGAACCTGCAGATGCTACGCAACCGAGAAGGGTTGGCTGCTCCGCTGAAGCTCACCATGGAACTCAAATCCGTGTCCCGCGTGGGGCATATGGCGTTCCTTCCGTCCACCAATGTGGCACGAGATGTTCTAACCGGACGGGACGAAATGGTTGACTTTACCGACCTGTTCAACAACGAGGAAAATTCGGAATTCATGCGACAACCGCATGCCGTGATGGAGAAGGCGCTCGGTATTCTGTAAGTTGTAATTAGGTATTCTTTTCTTTTTTGGATTTTTAAATTGAATATCAAATTAATCGTAACTGGGATGAACTCCCGTGGATAAGCTCTGAATAAACGGTTATAAATGTCCGCGGAAAGGATGTTCGATGGATTGTGAGTTGAGAAAATTCCATGCTAATGCTTGATAAAGTAGGAATTATCATTAACATTTATGGGGTTAAATGATGATACATGAAGACAATGTTATAAACTTACAATTCGGTGCACAAACTTCTATAAATAAACGCACTATCGCTAGCGTAACCTTCTTGCCCAAAATTTACTCAGTGTCTCATCCATATTCTCGTTTTTGTTCAAACCGTATTTTCCATACAAAAAAAAAGTTTTTTTTTGTATGGAAAATACGGTTCTAACAAAAACAAGAATATGGGTGTATAAGTGACCTGAGTTTTTAAGAATGGACCACTTTGTCAAGCAGTTTTGGCGTGACTTTCTACCAGCGATTGCACAAAACTGGACCAAAAAATGGATCATATCATTCGAACAGATTAATATGACGTTTCCTACCACCAGAACTTTGCCATGGATCATTATTTTGATATTTTTTCTTCTAGAACCTCGAGCAAATAGGGTCAGTTTTTCATTTTCTTAAAATCGCTGGTAGCAGGTCGCCTTAAAACTGCTCGACAATTTGATAATACATTTTTTTTATAAAACGCACAAATTTTGGCTACTTTTCTCGTGATTCTAGAAAAAAATATCTCAAAATATTGCTTTATTTCGAAGTTCGAGTGGTACCTAGTAAACGTCATTTTAATTGCTCGGATCTGTGTGTTTTTTTTTGTCAAATACCAAAAGCGTCTGTTCATGGAACAGGTAATCAATTTTATCTAATCGTATGTGCGTACATTTTTTATTATTTTAGTAAACCGTTACATTTTGTGAAACATAAAAAAAACATCAACTTCACGAAACAGCCATAGCGAAGCGTGTTCGCCTTCGCGAATGAACCAACAAGGCGAAACGCTTAGTTGCCGTCGCTTAAATTTCCGATTTCCGCCTAAAGGTAGCCTATATGTATGAAAAAACGAACCGCCTAATTTTCTGATATTACAATTCGCCTAAAGGAATACTCATTCATCGCCTAATCATTCTACAGCAAAAAAAAAAGATTTTCCTCAAAAATCTGCTCGAATTGGACCATCATCATCATCATCAATTAACCACTTCATTCGAGCAGTTAAAATGACGTTTACTACCACTCGAACTGTGAAATAAAACATTATTTTGAGAATTTTTCTTCTAGAACCACGAGAAAAGTAGCCAACATTTGTGCGTTTCATAAAAAAAATAGAAATTAGTTGGTCCTTTTTTGTGAAGTCGCTGGTAGAAATTCACGCCAAAACTGCTTGACAAAGTGGTCAATATGAAGAAAATCGACCAAAATTTTACTCAGTCTTTAAGTAACCTGCGTTTTGCGTTATTAACACTAGAAAAGAGCTCAATATAAAGTAGCTCAAAACAATTAAATAGAAATGCCAAAATCTTAACGAGCAGTTTAGCTGTTCTGATTTCGGTAGAGTTTGTTGAGATCGGGTATAGTTTCTGAGTATGTTGTTTGCTCGGTTGTTTGTGGATTCCCATTTTGAAATAGCTCAGCTTAGCACAAAGTAATAGTTTGATTGCTAGGGTACGTTCTTTCGCGATCATCTTTTATTCATAAAATTCTCATTATTCATACTATATTAATCATGATCAGTATTAGAAAATGTTATATGTTTGAGCATAGTTCTAGATTAGTTTGTTATTAATAAGGGAAATGGCTCTAATGTTGACCATGGATCTAAGATTGGGTCCATCGCTAAAAATCTGCTATTGATCAATTTTATCTAGATGAACGCGTCATTGGGATGGTACTAATAGATGGTCGCTATTGAAAATTTAGTCGATTGCTAAATTTATGTATGGGCCCAAATTAGGTGCATTTAGGCCGACATTACATCCTTTTCCCCTATGTTTCACATTGCAGCTCGCGAGAGGTTTACAAACATGGGCTCTCTTTTTCATTCATAATAGTTTGAGAGAGAGGGGGCGAGTCAAACTTTGCGATTTGAGAGCGAAATAGAGGCAAATAAAATAGGGACCACAACACCATGATCCAAACTACTAACCAACGCATGCAACTCACACTGTTCTATTTCTTTCTTGTACCAATATTAACTGCCTGAGAGCAAATGGGAACACGGCCAGATGTTCAATAGTAGGAAAAATACCGAGAAAGCGTGAGCAAAAAGAAGAATTAAATAAGACATGCATCAACAAGAGTAAGCAGTCAGAAAGGATCACGCCGGTTGGAGAAAGGAAATTTATACTGGACGGAACTGGTATCTAGGAAAGAGTCGTATGAGCAGGAAACCGTAAATAGGATTAAAATTGTAAAAGGTGTGTGCTTGCATGACCATTTCCTAACTTTACTTTTAATTCAATTATTACTCCATTGCAGCACACACCTACTATTGATCACTAACCTCAATATAGTTTCAGCATTATCGTCATTATAATCAAAAGGTGAGTTGTAAACTATAATTACCATATATAGAGATAAGTTAATGCACCAGAAACTGGACGGACATGAGCCTACCTAGGAGAGGACCTGGATACGTCCAGCCAGGTGTGTCTAGAGTATCGAGCTGACGACTGCAACGGGAAAGACACTTGGTGTATAGACTAGGGGGTTAGACCCTAGATAGGCCAACTTCCCAAAAAATGTTCTCACAATGTTCTAATGTTCATGTAAATTCCCTTACGTTTTCTAAATTTGCATGAGCCCCTAAAGTTTCAAACCATTAAATTTCCCTGAAGTTCTTTGGACTTTTGAAGTTTCCAAAATATTTATGATGTAACTTAAGCACTAGAGTTCGCTGAACTTTTCTGAAATTTCCGGGTTTTCAAATTTTAACAGAAGTTAATGAAACTATCTTTCACAACTTACACAAATCCTGGACTTTTCTGAAGTTTCAGAACTTCTTAAATCTGCAGCTAGTGTGGATCCACAACAAAAATCTGATAGCATCCTTAAAGTTCCGGGAAAAATTGAAAATAAAAACTGGCGGGAAAAGGTGAAAGAATCATTCGAGCGAAGGCTGAAGAAGCTTCCAAGGTAAGGTGGAAGAAAGTTGGATGAATTTTCAGGAAGTTTAAAATGAATAAAAACTTCCGGAAGTTAAATAATGTTTAAACAATATTTCTCGATTCCCTAGGAATTGACCACTTTGTCAAGCAGTTTTGGCGTGAATTTCTACCAGCAATTTCACAAAACTGGACCAACTAATTTCTATTTTTTTATGAAATGCACAAATTTTGGCTACTTTTCTCGTGGTTCTAGAAGAAAAAATCTCAAAATAACGTTTTATTTCAAAGTTCGAGTGGTAGTAACTGCTCGAATGAAGTGGTTAATTACCGGAAAGAGCCATTGACTATTTCTCGATTGATAGGTAGCCAAAAACGGTGAGGAAATGCAAACATTAGTCGAAAGAGTATCAATCATAAGGCATGTTTAGAGATCCAGAGTTGGTTGGAAATGCTAACATGAAGCTTTAGTGTGATGATTTATTAGCTAGAGAATAATCTTTAGAAGAGGGTAGGTGGATAGTTCCGTTAGAGTACGGCAGTATGAAAATTGAATAGAAGTTGAAAATGAGCGAAGGGCCATTAACGCGACAGTTTTTAAAGATCGACGCACATTTTTGCCTAACCCGTACGATGTACGCGGGGACTTGAAGTATGTCTCCAAGTCCACAGGCAAAAATGTGCGTCCCGCTTTTTGCTCATAAACTGACTGCGGCTGTGGAATAGTTCTAGCGACGTTTTCATCACTACCTAAAGCCCCTAAAGTTAGAGATGATTGTTTAGAATTTTGAAGACTCAAAAAATATGAGGTAGGGGAATTTACGTATTCTCGTCAATCTAAGCAGTGTCCACACTTCTATTAGCATTTTCTCAGCGTCACGCACATATATGACGTGTCTGTTGGTTTACATTCATCTGCTGCTTGCTTCTCTATCCATTTTAATCGACAGAATTCTTCAAAACTGTTTGAAAGCGTTTTTACAACGCTCCAAACTTCTCAGGTGAGTGTGACTATTGTCGGCAGCCTCGTTTTCTTCGGCAACCTTCCCATTAGAACTGCGTGTTAACCAGCTGTTCTATTATCGGCAACTTGAAATCAACCCCATTTTAGAGTACGTATGCTTCATTTGAATAAAAATCTGCCATAACAGGACTGCTCAGACGTACACATACAATCAGATTGAAGCTGAAAGACTAAAGAATCGTTTGGATGCATTCAGGGAAGTGTGTTGATGGGAAAACGTAGTGAAATTAACGTTTAAATTTTGGTTGCCGAAAACAGTCAATGGGTGCCGAAGCCGACATTTACCCTATTCAAAAAGATACAAATCTCTCACAAATTTTTTTTTCCGGAATTCGAGTGCGGGCAGGCAATAATAAATTTGATTATTTAAAAAAAAAATCGGTATAAATCGGTATAAAATCTCAAAAATCGGTATTCTGAGGAACCTTATCTGTATATCGGTATCTAGTTCGGAAATCGGTATAAATACCGATAAATCGGTATATTTGGCAACGTTGGTAGGCATCAGCATTCATTATGCCATTGATCCGTACCATGTTTCCTACTCCAGCCCATGCGAAACAGCTCCATACCAATATGTTCCCAAGTTATGGCGAATTCAAGACGTGCTTTCTTATTCTTGGCATTGATGTACGGCAGCTTTCTTGCGAATTTGCTCTTCAAACCTTGTTCACTGATACTGCGGCTGATTGTACGATCAGATATCGAAAGCTGAAGGTTCTCATTGATCGACCTGATCGTGATTGAAGGGGTTTTCTTTGTTTCCCGGATGATCTTATTGATCATTGCATCAGTCCGATGATCCGTTTTGCGCACGCCTCCTCTACCGGTTCTGTCTGTCACGGATCCGATCTCCTGATATTTCGCAAAATCTCCTGAACTGCTTCCCGGCTAACGTTGTACTTT